ACATGCAGTATCTCAAAAGATGCAACTGGCTTTCTTCCCTTTCTTTATCACTCTTGGCATTGGGACAGTTGAATGTAGACTAAACAGAAGATACTAATTTCACATCTGCACAGATGCAAACACATATCTGCATGTGCACATGCACATACTCCATGGATGGGTGCAAAACAGTGATAGGATTCAGCCAGTTCGCACCTATCCGGGAGAACCGGTTCTTAACTTTCTAAGCACTTCGGAGAACCGGTTGTTGGAAGAAATCTCATTTTGGTTTTTTTCCACTTTACAGGGCTAATCCTGTAAGCCCTGTAAAGTGGGTTAAGAGCCGAGGTGGCGCAGTGGTTAGGGTGCAGTACTGCAGGCCACTTCAGCTGACTGTTATCTGCTCTTCAGCGGTTCTAATCTCACCAACTCAAGGTTGACTTCCATCCTTCCGAGGTGGGTGAAATGAGGACCCAGACTGTGGGGGCGATATGCTCACTCTGTAAACCACTTAGAGGGCTGAAAGCCCTATGAAGGGGTATATAAGTCTAACTGCTACTGCTATTGCTCTGCTTACAGAAACCGCCTCTCCAGTTAACCCTTATTACATTGTAACAGCTAAGGCGAAGCGCCCATCGACCTGAGTAAGGTTGAGTTGACCAAGCCCACCCAGTCACCTGACCACTGAGCCCCACCTACCCAGATAGTCATTAGGGCAGAGAACCGGTTGTTAAATTATTTGAATCCCACCACTGGTCAAAGTACACGGAACACCATTACCTTCCCACAAAAATGATACCTATTTATCTACTTGCATTTGCCTGCTTTCGAACTACTAGTTGGGCAGGAGTTGGGACAAGAACAGGAGCTCACCCTGTTGCATAGCGCTAGAACTGTCAATCTTTTGGTCCACAATTCCAGTGTCTTTAGTTGCTTAAAGCACCAATCAATAATTTCCCCAGATGAATGCATTTGTAGTTCACGTGAAGGAGTGGACACAAAAAAAATGCTCTGCTCTTGAAAGTTGAACAAGTCTTCTCAGGCAATTTTTGCCTTCACCAGTTGTGGAGGCTAAAGGTAAAAGACAATTTCAAAATCTTAGCCAACCGATCCACATTGACCCCCGTCTTTTTTTTTCTTTAAATAAGAAACTGGACAAATCCAGTCAGACCAACATGAACAGGAATTCATATACCAAGCCAACTCCCTTGTAAACCAGGAATTGCCTGGATAAGGGGGGCCTAGCTAGAAGACATCTGAACAAGTCATTCAAAGGACTAATAGGTCACGCAGGTTTTCTCTCTTTAGGATCTGCTTCTGCCCTGAACCCACAATAAATTTTGGATGAAGTTTGCGTCATTTTCAAGCAGTTGTCAAGAGTTCAAAGAATAATCATGCTATAGAGTCTCCTATAAAGATCCTGAAAATTCCTGGTAAGTTTGTTGGGAAATTTGTCGTCATTCTTCATTTGCTAAACTGTTTACCATGATCCGACAAATGCATGCCCAACAACAGCGCGCCGACAAAACTGGGGTGATAAAACCGCATCGTCGACAGCGCACCCAAAAAGGTACGGTGAGAAACCCGCACCCACAAAAGCACAATTAGGGTTAAGGTAAGGGTTACGGTAAGGGTAAGGGTAAGGGTAAGGGTTAAGGTTAAGGTTAGGGTTAGGGTTAGGGTTAGGGTTAGGGTTAGGGTTAGGGTTAGGGTTAGGGTTAGGGTTAGGGTTAGGGTTCTTACGTTGTTTTTGCGTTGTTTGTTGATGGCACACTTTTGTCAGCACTCTTCTGTCAGCACGCCTATGTGGGCGCGATTTCGACATTGCGGTTTTTTCGCTGCGGATTTGTTGGCACACTTTTGTCGTGCACGCATTTGTCAGTGAACCACTGTTTACTACTCTTTCATAGCATGCCAGAGTCACCTGTTTTCCACTATCTGCCGAAGTTATTAGGATCTTTGTTTAATTTTTAAAAAGCAGTTAGCAATGTATGATCTCTTTCTAAACAGAGCTAACAACCTACCAGAACATGCCCTTCCTGGTCATTAGGTGAGCAAGAAGTGAGCAAAGAAATCTTTAGCAATTGGTATCCAACTATCAGCCAGTAATTGGATTCAAGAAAAACCCAGTTGCTACTGCACTGCTTTTTCTCCTGACTTTGAAAAACAGGAAAAGAATAAAACTAAGTCATGACCCGGTGAGATCACATGATCCCAGCTGACATACCAACTGAACTGTGTAGGTGAAAGAGACTGGGTGCTCTGCCAGAAATCTGATCTTCCTTTTGGAATTGCCACAAGCGTCTTTCCTGGGTCTCCCCACGTTAGTCAGCTAAATTCCAGCCGTCAGGCTTCTCAACACAGGTGGATGTTTTGGGTGCAAGGAGGACAGTGATGCATCCTCTCTTGTCTCAAGCTTGCTGCTGGGTAATGATATCTCATTAAGTGAAAGACAGTAGTCATGGGGAGAATTGCCACATTCCCCCACGGAAATTAAGCAGTCCGTTGCGAAAGAGAAACAAACAGCTCGACGGAACTTTTGAGAATTTAAAAATAAAGTTAATCTATTGTGGTATGAGGTTTGTCATACAGGATGTTGCATCATGTGGAATCACATCGTGGGTTCTCCTGGCTCAGTACGGCCAATGGTGATTGGGGTAGAGGCAGGAGGCTCTATCAATTCTGCCTCAAAGGGGTTGAGGATCAATTGGGTCCAATTGCATGGAAGCAGATCCCCTACTACTGCACTGTTGCCTTCAATCTTTGGAAAATGATTGTGGTTACATCTGCAATATTGTGATGGGTTGCATAAGAGTCTATGGGTCTTTTTTCCCCTTCTCATTATCTATGGTAGACTTTAGATTCAAAGGGGAAAAGGTGCTTCAGAGCCTGCATCTCTCCACAACTTGCTAAATCAAACATATCTTTTTTGGAGGATAGTGCTGCAGCTGAGGACAGCAACACAAACCTGGGGGAAAACACAGCTGGTTTTTGGACAGGTGTTATGGAACCTCTGTATCCTGCAAAACTGGTTTTTGGGGGCATTGGAATCTCGGCTCCATGCCACCCTAAATGTAATGAGTAGTTCAGTAAAAAAAAAAAACCTGATATAGCAATAGCAATAGCAGTTAGACTTATATACCGCTTCATAGGGCTTTCAGCCCTCTCTGAGCGGTTTACAGAGTCAGCATATTGCCCCCA